GATGGTGACACCAGAGGTTGACCTTACCAACTTTTGTTTTCCCCACCTGGCAGATGGTGACACCAGAGGTTGGCCTTACCGACTTTTGTCTTCCCCACCCTGGCAGATGGTGAGACCAGAGGTTGACCTTACCAACTTTTCTCTTCCCCACCTGGCAGGTGGTGAGACCAGAGGTTGACCTTACCAACTTTCCTCTTCCCCACCCTGGCAGATGGTGAGACCAGAGGTTGACCTTACCGACTTCTGTCTTACCCACCCTGGCAGATGGTGACACCAGAAGTTAACCTTACCAACTTTTGTCTTCCCCACCTGGCAGATGGTGACACCAGAGGTTGACCTTACCGACTTCTGTCTTACCCACCCTGGTAGATGGTGACACCAGAGGTTGACCTCACCGACTTCTGTCTTCCCCACCTGGTAGATGGTGACACCAGAGGTTGACCTTACCGACTTTTGTCTTCCCCACCCTGGCAGATGGTAACACCAGAGGTTGACCTTACCGACTTTTGTCTTCCCCACCCTGGCAGATGGTGACACCAGAGGTTGGCCTTACCGACTTTTGTCTTCCCCACCCTGGCAGATGGTGACAACAGAGGTTGACCTTACCAACCTTTGTCTTCCCCACCTGGCAGATGGTGACACCAGAGGTTGACCTTACCGACTTTTGTCTTCCCCACCCTGGCAGATGGTAACACCAGAGGTTGACCTTACCGACTTTTGTCTTCCCCACCCTGGCAGATGGTGAGACCAGAGGTTGGCCTTACCGACTTTTGTCTTCCCCACCTTGGCAGATGGTGACACCAGAGGTTGACCTTACCGACTTTTGTCTTCCCCACCTGGCAGATGGCGAGACCAGAGGTTGACCTTACCGACTTTTGTCTTCCCCACCTGGCAGATGGTGACACCAGAGGTTGACCTTACCGACTTCTGACTTCCCCACCCTGGCAGATGGCGAGACCAGAGGTTGACCTTACCGACTTTTGTCTTCCCCACCCTGGCAGAGGGTGACACCAGAGGTTGGCCTTACCGACTTTTGTCTTCCCCACCCTGGCAGATGGTGAGACCAGAGGTTGACCTTACCAACTTTTGTCTTCCCCACCCTGGCAGATGGTGACACCAGAGGTTGGCCTTACCGACTTTTGTCTTCCCCACCCTGGCAGATGGTGAGACCAGAGGTTGACCTTACCAACTTTTGTCTTCCCCACCCTGGCAGATGGTGACACCAGAGGTTGACCTTACCGACTTTTGTCTTCCCCACCCTGAGAGATGGTGACAACAGAGGTTGACCTTACCGACTTCTGTCTTCCCCACCCTGGCAGATGGTGACACCAGAGGTTGACCTTACCGACTTTTGTCTTCCCCACCTGGCAGAGGGTGACACCAGAGGTTGACCTCACCGACTTTTCTCTTCCCCACCTGGCAGATGGTGAGACCACAGGTTGACCTCACCGACTTTTGTCTTCCCCACCGGGGCAGATGGTGACACCAGAGGTTGACCTCATCGACTTTTGTCTTCCCCACCTGGCAGATGGTGACACCAGAGGTTGACCTCACCGACTTCTGTCTTCCCCACCCTGGCAGTTGGTGAGACCAGACGTTGACCTTACCGACTTTTGTCTTCCCCACCCTGGTAGATGGTGACACCAGAGGTTGACCTTACCGACTTCTGTCTTCCCCACCCTGGCAGTTGGTGAGACCAGACGTTGACCTTACCGACTTCTGTCTTCCCCACCCTGGCAGATAGTGACACCAGAGGTTGACCTTACCGACTTCTGTCTTACCCACCCTGGCAGATGGTGACACCAGAAGTTAACCTTACCAACTTTTGTCTTCCCCACCTGGCAGATGGTGACACCAGAGGTTGACCTTACCGACTTCTATCTTCCCCACCCTGGCAGATGCTGACAACAGAGGTTGACCTTACCGACTTCTGTCTTCCCCACCCTGGTAGATGGTGACAACAGAGGTTGACCTTCCCGACTTTTGTCTTCCCCACCCTGGCAGATGGTGACACCAGAGGTTGACCTTACCGACTTTTGTCTTCCCCACCCTGGCAGATGGTGACACCAGAGGTTGACCTTACCGACTTTTGTCTTCCCCACCTGGCAGAGGGTGACACCAGAGGTTGACCTTACCGACTTTTGTCTTCCCCACCTGGCAGAGGGTGACACCAGAGGTTGACCTTACCGACTTTTGTCTTCCCCACCCTGGTAGATGGTGAGACCACATGTCGATCTTACCCTCACCATACTCAAAAAGTCTTAAACAAATCCTTTGGCATTCCACCAGGAATACAACCAGTTGCGTTCCAAGTATATAACAACTGAGAGGGACTCACATTATGAAACAACAAATCTGAAAACCTTTTCCCATTGCATCTGCATCTCAATGAGAGAAAATGATGTATATCATAAATTGTAACTGTGTTATGGGTAAGATAAATTGCTTATTTTAAATTATTTTCTGTTTGTCAATAATAGTGTAATGAATAAATATATATTTCAAGAAACTCATTTAAACATTGTGTTTAAAATGTGTAAGAATGTTCAGAACTATATGGGTGAAATAACGTTCATACAACGTAACATTTTGACTCACAAACACACTCATTTTTGCTGCCATTGTCATACCTTTGCAGTAGTTTGTATTAATTTATAAACTTTGAATACAATGGTTGATTGTATTTCATTCTTTTGTTGTTTGTTGGTATGAAACTGGGTTCTTTTACTAACAGATTTAACTACTGCATTAGTTTCAACTTGGGAATCAATATAATACGTGAAGCATTGAAATAATTAATTCGATTTGACGACTATAGTGTTTCAGGTTGGATGATCAACACCATTATTTCTACCGTAATCGATGCAGATACTTACTCTTTTATGAAGCGAAAAAGTTACGGGAACATCCTAATGGATAGAGATATGTCTTAATTGACGAATTTTCGAGATAAGATACTTAAATTTTGCTCTTCAACAATCTGATCTTCAGGCACTCTACGACCAGTTCCTAAACTCCTGCATGACTGTTTTGATTTTTCCATCACAAGGGATCAATATTTCCTATCATCATCAATGAAGGTTCTTTGTAATAGTATTGGTTCACATTTAATCATTGCTTATTTAAAGGAAATTGAAATAAATCGAGAGATTGTGATCAACCCAAATTGTTCTTGACTATGCCCTTGATGGGGGCTGAAGTACCATACCATTATCGCCCTACCTAGTGGGTATGTAAGACCATGTCTCTTAAGATATGTTTGTGTCTACCATTTTTTAAATCGAAGTATATTTGTTCTTTTAAGTGACAGCTTAATTCGAGTACGATCGCTGAGTACGTTAATATCGTAACTCACTCACCCCCTCGCTTTGTAATTACAATGTGTTATTTAACGCAGTCGACAAGTCAATGAGTTAAAATGTTACATTGCAGTGGCAAAATTACAGTAATGTAGCAATGAAATCAGAAAGATATGTTTTCCCGCGTGGGCGGGTATCTCATTGTTAACGAATTGAGGGAAGTTGACCAATATAATGTGAATGACGAATTGCAAGTATTAACTTTTGTGCTATGACTTTTTTCTGTTTGTAAATAAAAAGCATTGAATAAATATGTTGTTTTTGTTTTTTAAAAACCCTGATCAGTTAAACTTTGTACTTAAAATGTTCATTTATGCAGACCTGGTCTCGTCGCTACATACGAAGGGGCAAGAACCAGCACGGAAAGGTCGTTATCGATAGATTTGTCTTGTATTATTACACCAACTTCTAAATGCCCTTGAAGAATGTCGTCGCTGTATGGCTGAAATAATGCCGATGCGATGTAAAACGCAACAACTCAACTCATTTCATATAGCAATGAAAACAATATATTCATATTTAAAGGTGTGTCGATCAAGGACAACTAGACTGTGGTGTATGTCATAGTTTAGAATAACTCAAAACAAATGACAGTTATATAACCCCCCTTAATTAATACCTATGAAAGACCAGTAACCAAACTGAGACCACCTTACTGGGGATCATGAGGACTTACAGAGCCCTTCCTTCCTGTGTCACTTCCCAGCAGCATTTAGACCGACCCTCACGTTGATCAATGATGGACTTACTAGAGACTGTCATTGGACAAACCCTTAATACAGTTGTAGCTTCCAGAATGGAACCTCCATCAATAACCACAGATCATAATATTTTAGTTACTTTACAACACACGCAAGCTAATCAAAATTTGTCTAGTGGTTCTCTTTCTTTGACGAAGCAAACATTTTAGGAACTTTGATTAAACATTCCCACTTTTAAAATCAACAACAAAATGGACCCATCTATTGATTCATTTAGAACCCTGAACATTTATCAATATCTATTCCAAAGAAAGAGAGTACAAAAAGCTGTCTTGCACTCACTGGACATCACATAATTCGTTGTAGTAAAAAATGTAAGTAATAAAAATCGGTCATTCACAGGTCTCAAATTTAACTGGTTCTCGAGGAACCATAAGATAAAGGGACAAACTCTGTTCCTTCGTGCCATGGAATGATTAAACTTCCATGAAGCCATAGTTCCCGTCTACCTTTCTCTGCCTTTAATTTTGAAGGTTGAACTGACATATTAGTGAGTTAAAAAGTAAAATTGTCAGCCATATAGCGACATTGGCATATAAGACCTTCACTGATTGAATACTCTTTTCTGAATGTTTTTGTTTTTCAAAGAACAACCTTTTAAATAATAAATGGACAAACACACATGTAACGAAACTGCACCAAGAGAAAAACGTGTACTGTCGTCATGCATTGTTGAATTGATTGTGAACTTCTGTTATTATGCTCGATGACAGATGCTCATGGTGTTATCACTGGATTGTCTGGTCCAGATTCAAATATTTACAGGCTGCCATCATATAGCTGGAATACTGGAGTACGAAGGAGCACGGTCTTATAACAAGCCAAGATTATCTGTCACGAAGCGAATATCAGTGACTGGCATAAGGCAATAGATACTTACCTGTATAATACTGCCAGCCTGCCTCTTGTTCACCCCCAGTGATGACGGATGAATAGTACAACCGGCAACGTTGAGACGCTGGATTGTGCAGTACCATGTTGCACTGCAGATCATGGAAACTCCACCACAAGCATGCAGCTTTGTCATAAACACTGCGTTCAGTGATGAAGGTGTCATTGAACATTTGTCCGTCCAAACTTCCATGATGGTTAAATGTCAAAATGTGACATGACTGTACACCTGAGCTGTAAGTCATGGTGATGGCGAGAGCTAGCTGAACAAATTCCCACGCAACCATCCTCATGCTGCAAGTTTCTAGAATAGTGATCAGTAGTTAGAGAACGGGAGAATATTAACAGCTCAATGTGTTAATTGGTGGTATGACGCCAGTATTGAGTACACGCTCGGTTGCCTTGTAAACATGTTTATTGGCTCTGTTCACCGACCAATCACTGACAAAGTTTTCCTGTGACAATCTTTAAGGAGCGGCCGTTTGAGATATGAATTATATATTATAACACAATGCCATTTAGAAAGTGGTCAAATGGAACATATGTTATATTTGGGATTGTACTTTCGTAGTGGGACTCAACCCAACAAAAAGCACTAGAATCTGTACTTTACTAAGAAAGTGTATCTGACCATAACTTCTAAATGGCATTGTGTAATCACAGCTTTTGGCCGTCGGAGCCAGGCCAAAGTACTCTTATCACATGTACACAAGTCCGCTCTGGACTACCAGTTGTGCGACTTCCATTTTTGTGGAAGTCGCGGTGGCTGAGCGGGTTAGGCGACTGACTTTGTGTACTGGCGATTAGGTGCCTGACTCAGAGGGTGTGGGTTCGTATCCCGGATGGGACTCAACCCAACAAAACGTTCTAGAATCTGTATTTTACTAAGAAAGTGTAATCCGAAATATAACATATGTTACATGAATTATATAGTTTACATTAATGAAAGAACGGAAGACAGCTCGTCACCATGTTTGGCATCAATGTCAGGAAGTTCGATTATCATATCGATTCATTACAGCCTTGCGCAAACAACTGTGGTAAACAACTTGCAAGTTACTATTCGGTCTGTTTGAGTGAGTGAGTGAGTTACGTTTTACGCCGCTTTAAGCGATGTTCCAGCAATATCACGGCGGGGGACACCAGAAATGGGCTTCACACATTTTACCCATGTGGTGAATCGAACCCGGGTCTTCGGCGTGACGAGCGAACGCTTTAACCACTAGGCTACCCCACCGCCCCCCGGTCTGTTTCAAGTAGCTAACACAAAATGGAACGCACGATTAATATTTTTATTTCTGACTCCCTGTTACAGAAACTGATCAGGCACTCATGGTAGCGTCTGGACAAAGAGTAGAGAAATACATCGATTTGTTTTAAAAAGAGGGCGCAAATACTAGAAGACACACACGCACGCGCGCGTACACACAGACACAGAGTGAGTGAGAAAGAGAGGGAGAAAAAGAGAGAGAGAGAAACAACAACATGAAAATACAAACACACACTTCAGTAAACAATTTAAAGACATTCAGTATTTAATTATTGTGATTCATCAACAAAGTTAGCCACAGCATGTTAGGACATTTATTTTATATAAAACGTGGCTTGTTCACTTTGGATACATGGTGTAAATATAGGGTGACAAGCAAGTAAGACTAAGAGTTATTCTCAAATGTTTACATTTACATCTAGTCAGTGAGTGAGTGAGTGAATATTGCCTACCGCCGCATCAGCGGACATATATATCTAAACAGAATTACATAACATACAACCACGTGTTACAATATGTCCCAAGAGTTACTGAAGTAGATTATCATACAAACAAAGTACACACACACACTCACACACATACACACATACACACACACACACACACACACACACACACACACACACACACACACACACACAAAACCGTAAATAAAGTAAGGACATTCAATATTTAATTATTGTGATTCATCACAGCAAACACACGCACACGCATGTGCACATATTCATTCAGTTTCTGTACTGATCCATAGAGGGGCTGTAAGGTGAACTTTCTGCTAAGAGTCACTAAAGACATTCATAACACAACAGATCATTATAGCGATTCATCAGCAGAACCATGAAGTCACAACATGTTACAATATCTAGTTTATGTAAAGCTTGGCTTGATTCACTTGGGATACATGGTGGAATATTGGGCATCAAGTAAGTAAGACTGAGAGTTATTATCAAATGTTACAGTTATATCTAGTGAGTGTGTGAGTGAGTGAGTGAGTAAATACTGCCTAACGCGGCATCAACAGAACATTTATATCTAAACAGAATTACATAACATACAGCCACGTGTTACAATATGCTCCAACAGTTACTGAAGCAGAGATATGCTGTTTGTCATACAGGCAAACCAAAAATGCAATGTAATTTTTAGTACATGTTATCAGGTGAAATAATAAGCTTTCCTTCAGGAGGGCTGTTATCATATATTTAATTATGAATCGACATACAAATGCCATTACAATGAGTACAAATGTATTTCTCACATAAGAGATCCTGAAACATTGAAAAGAAATTATAGTTTGTAGACATCAGGACACTAAAATGAACAATTCACAGTTATTACCAATAATGTAGATATATACTTAAGTGTCTGGATACTGGGCATGTCTTGGGTACAAAGGGAGCATATATATACAATGTAATATCTGAATAGGTCTATGTACAATATCATATCAGTTCTGTCTGTAACTGTACAATGAATATATTAACAATCTGTACAATGGTCGACCAGTCAAATTGTCTATCAAAGTTAACTCACAACTTCTTTATTGCCATGACAAAATGGGAAGAAAGAGAAATATCCTTCTCCGACTCCCACACTCCCAAGAGTACACAGACAAAGTTATGAATGGAAATCGACAGAAGGACGGACTGACAGAAAAGCAGACAAACAGACAGACAGACAGACAGACAGACGTCGGGTTGTATCTTTTCTGACTCCAAGAACACATCGATATGTACACATATGCCGTTTGACAACGTGCAAAGAATGAGAAATGTTATGAACGGAATTCGACAGTCAGACAGACAGACAGACAGACAGAGACAGGCAGAGGGACATAAGGCAGATGTCAGGTTGTGAGCCATCTTAACACATCAGTTACATCTACATGCGTAACCGAAAATAAGTTTACCTACTACCATTTGCATTATATTATATTACATGTATATATTCCATGATCAACATGAACAAAGATCTGGTAACAAGCAAATAAGCATGTCTTAAATAAGCATGTAATAACTGAGATGTGAATTATTTACAATATCCTAGATTTGAAACCAGAAAGTATAGTCAATGCATTGTGTCAAATATTTAGTGAACAGATGAAATACGAGTCCCTCAGTTCATCGTATTCTCCAGGAATGAACAAACTATGTCAAACAATTACATAGACATCTATGTACATATCTACAGAATCTGAATATAGACCAAGAGTTGCTACCCACAGCCGCCAAAGAAAGCATGCGTTGGCATGCAAAAAAACAATCCAGTAATCACTGAATGTGAATTATTTTCGTTATAAAACATTTGCAACCATCACATATTGTCAATACATAATGTCATATATTTAGTGAACATCTGTAATGTCTTTTATCAGTATTTCTCCAGGAATGAACAAACTGTGTCAGACAATTACATAGACATCTATTTACATATCTACAACATCTGATTAAAAGGCAATAGTTGGTATCCATAGCAACGAAGGAACATGTCTTGGCATGAAATAAACATTTAGTAATTCCTGAATGTACATCATTTTTCACAGTGTGCCATTTGCAACAAGCAATATAGTAAATGCATATTTAAATCACAAGGATTAATGGGTGGACAAGATTTAACATATATTTGTAAAATTGAAATGATATAGATTTCTGTTAACAGTTCATATTTGGATGCGGTGGTTCCTGGGAACTTTGACGTCATATTGAACATCTTCACCGACCTGTTTCCATCCATGCACTTATTTATTGCTCACAAGTTTAATGCATATTTAAATGGCAAGGAGTAAAACAACACATGTAATGCAGCACCTATGTACTGCAGCATTATGTACTGTCTCAAAATGATATCGACATTTATTTACATATCTACAAGATCTGATTACAATTGGAACCAATAGCTGTGGAACACCGATAAGTCAGGTGTCAAATACAAGAAGGTGTTATCTTCCAAACATTCACTTGAGACAATGGGCATATTCAAATTGTATGCTGAGACGCTTTGAAAAAGCATACCAGATTCTTTGTTGTTATTTCACATATTTGACCTCACAAACATCAGATTGTTCAGCTTCTTGAGGCATAAGATCATCAAAATCAACAATGCCGTATTACAGGTTTCATTTGAAGCGTCATCTGCTGTGACAAAATTCCTTTGCTGTTTTCTTGTTCATACTTATTATGCATTTTCACAGTGTATCAGTATATTTAAGAATTCAATCTTTGATGCCCAGGATGATCCTTGACATTTTTTAGTTTTTAGGAAAGTCCATCAGCTGTCGAAACTTTTTTCAAATCTTTCTCATTCCCGAGAATTCCCTGACTTATTCCTCAGGTATTCCACAATGGCATTGCTTTGTCCTCTCTGAGCCAGAGTAAGGATGCATTCGCTTGTGTCTGAGACCAGAGAGAGATCTGCCTTGTGGTCCACCAGCAGCTGGAAGACATCCCAATGTCCACACACAGCCGCCATCATCACCGGTGTCCAGTTGTACCGACCTCTGACATTGATGTCAAAGGTCAGGAGCAGATACTCCACACATTGTCTGTTGGCTCCGCGACAAGCCAGATGAAGCAGACTATCTCCAAACTGGTCTGTTTGAACCAAATCAGAACTGTTGTCATAGCAAACTTTCAACATTTCAAAAGATCCTGTCACTACGGATCTCATCAGTATTGTCCAAGGGGTGTGCTTCTTCACATATTGTCCATCAGGTGATAATCGTTCTATGATTTGTCTACATCCTCCCTGAAGGGCGAGAGTGCACAAATCATCTCCAGTCTTATCAACCAGTGCCAGATCTGCACCCTGTCGTCTGAGGTAGTCAAACACTGCAGAATTTCCAAATATAGATGCTACCATTGCAGGAGTCCACCCAAATGTGTCTCTGTCATCAATATTAAACCATGGACACACATGTTTCACCATACCAAGATGTCCACCCATACAAGCAACGTGTAGCAGGCTATTACCCATATTGTCCACTATCTTGACGTCAGCGTTTTGGGACACAAGGAAGTCAACTGCGGGAATTTGACCACCTCTAGCTGCCTCCAGAAGCGGTGTGCGACCGAACAAACCTCTTGTGTCAATGTCAAAATCACCAATGACATCTTCAACAATCAACATGTTGCCACCTCTACATGCTGTGTGTAGTGATGTGTGATTATCATCACCTACACATACACAGTTACCTCCATGTTTCAGAAGAAGTTCCCAAACATTTTGATTTCCAGGGAAAGCTGCATACATCAAAGGTGTACAACCCAGTGCTCCCCGACAATTAATGTCAAACAGTGGAAGCAGAGCTTCTACAATGGGACTATTTCCACTTTCACATGCCACATGAAGGATAGTGTCATTGTTGTCATTTCTTATTGTGAGATCAGTTTCCATTGACACGAGTAGATCGAAAACATCCTTATTCCCATACAAAGCTGATGTCATCGCTGGTGTAAATCCCACCTCTCCACGACAATTAATGTCAAACAGTGGAAGCAGAGCTTCTACAATGGGACTATTTCCACCTTGACATGCCACGTGAAGGATGGCGTCATTGTTGTCATTTCTTATTGTGAGATCAGCTCCCTTTGACACGAGCAGGTCAAAAACATCCTTCTTCCCATACAAAGCTGATGTCATCGTTGGTGTAAATCCCACCTGTCCACGACAATTAATGTCAAACAGTGGAAGCAGATCTTCTACAATGGGACTTTTTCCACTTTCACATGCCACATGAAGGATGGTGTCATTGTTGTCATTTCTTAATGTGAGATCAGCTCCCTTTGACACGAGCAGGTCGAAAACATCCTTCTTCCCATACAAAGCTGATGTCATCGCTGGTGTAAATCCCACCTCTCCAAGACAATTAATGTCAAATAGTGGTAGCAGAGCTTCTACAATGGGACTATTTCCACCTTCCACATGCCACATGAAGGATGGTGTCATTGTTGTCATTTCTTAATGTGAGATCAGCTCCCTTTGACACGAGCAGGTCAAAAACATCCTTCTTCACATACAAAGCTGATGTCATCGCTGGTGTAAATCCCAACTCTCCACGACAATTAATGTCAAACAGTGGTAGCAGAGTTCTACAATGGGATTATTTTCACCTCGACATGCCACATGAAGGATGGTGTCATTGTTGTCATTTCTTATTGTGAGATCAGCTCCCTTTGACACGAGCTGATCGAAAACATCCTTCTTCCCATACAAAGCTGATGTCATCGCTGGTGTAAATCCCACCTGTCCACGACAATTAATGTCAAACAGTGGAAGCAGATCTTCTACAATGGGACTATTTCCACCTCGACATGCAACATGAAGGATGGTGTCATTGTTGTCATTTCTTATTGTGAGATCAGCTCCCTTTGACACGAGCAGGTCAAAAACATCCTTCTTCCCATACAGAGCTGCTATCATCGCTGGTGTAAATCCCACCTCTCCACGACAATTAATGTCAAACAGTGGAAGCAGAGCTTCTACAATGGGACAATTTCCACCTCGACATGCTACATGAAGGATGGTGTGATTGTTGTCATTTCTTATTGTGAGATCAGCTCCCTTTGACATGAGCAAATCGAAAACATCTTTCTTCCCATACAAAGCTGATGTCATCGCTGGTGTAAATCCCACCTGTCCATGACAATTAATGTCAATCAGTGGAAGCAGAGCTTCTACAATGGGACTATTTCCACCTCGACATGCCACATGAAGGATGGCGTCATTGTTGTCATTTCTTATTGTGAGATCAGCTCCCTTTGACACGAGCAGGTCAAAAACATCCTTCTTCCCATACAAAGCTGCTATCATCGCTGATGTAAATCCCATCTGTCCACGACAATTAATGTCAAACAGTGGTAGCAGAGCTTCTACAATGGGACTATTTCCACCTTGACATGCCACATGAAGAATGGTGTGTTTGTTGTCAGCTCTTATTGTGAGATCAGCTCCCTTTGACATGAGCAGATTGAAAACATCTTTCTTCCCATACAAAGCTGATGTCATCGCTGGTGTAAATCCCACCTCTCCACGGCAATTAATGTCAAACAGTGGAAACAGAGCTTCTACAATGGGACTCTTTCCTCCTCGACATGCCACATGAAGGATGGTGTGATTGTTGTCATTTCTTATTGTGAGATCAGCTCCCTTTGACACGAGCTCATCGAAAACATCCTTCTTCCCATACAAAGCTGATGTCATCGCTGGTGTAAATCCCACCTGTCCACGACAATTAATGTCAAACAGTGGAAGCAGAGCTTCTACAAAGGGATTATTTCCACTTTCACATGCCACATGAAGGATAGTGTCATTCTTCTCACTTCTTATTGTGAGATCAGCTCCCTTTGACACGAGCAGGTCAAAAACATCCTTCTTCCCATACAAAGCCGCTATCATCGCTGGTGTACGTCCCACCTGTCCACGACAATTAATGTCAAACAGTGGTAGCAGAGATTCTACAATGGGACTATTTCCACCTTGACATGCCACATGAAGGATGGTGTGTTTCTTGTCAACTCTTATTGTGAGATCAGCTCCCTTTGACACGAGCAGGTCAAAAACATCCTTCTTCCCATACAAAGCTGCTATCATCGCTGGTGTAAGTCCCACCTGTCCACGACAATTAATGTCAAACAGTGGTAGCAGAGATTCTACAATGGGACAATTTCCACCTTGACATGCCACGTGAAGGATGGTGTGTTTCTTGTCAACTCTTATTGTGAGATCAGCTCCCTTTGACACGAGCAGGTCAAAAACATCCTTCTTCCCATACAAAGCTGATGTCATCGCTGGTGTAAATCCCAACTGTCCACGACAATTAATGTCAATCAGTGGAAGCAGGTCTTCTACAATGGAACTATTTCCACCTTGACATGCAACATGAAGGATGGTGTCATTGTTGTCATGTCTTATTGTGAGATCAGTTCCCTTTGACACGAGCAGGTCAAAAACATCCTTCTTCCCATACAAAGCTGATGGCATCGCTGATGTAAATCCCATCTGTCCACGACAATTAATGTCAAACAGTGGAAGCAGAGCTTCTACAATGGGACTATTTCCACCTTGACATGCCACATGAAGAATGGTGTGTTTCTTGTCAGCTCTTATTGTGAGATCAGCTCCCTTTGACACGAGCAGATTGAAAACATCTTTCTTCCCATACAAAGCTGATGTCATCGCTGGTGTAAATCCCATCTGTCCACGACAATTAATGTCAAACAGTGGAAGCAGATCTTCTACAATGGGACTATTTCCACTTTCACATGCCACATGAAGGATAGTGTCATTCTTCTCACTTCTTATTGTGAGATCAGCTCCCTTTGACACGAGCAGGTCAAAAACATCCTTCTTCCCATACAAAGCTGATGTCATCGTTGGTGTAAATCCCACCTGTCCACGACAATTAATGTCAAACAGTGGAAGCAGATCTTCTACAATGGGACTTTTTCCACTTTCACATGCCACATGAAGGATGGTGTCATTGTTGTCATTTCTTAATGTGAGATCAGCTCCCTTTGACACGAGCAGGTCGAAAACATCCTTATTCCCATACAAAGCTGATGTCATCGCTGGTGTAAATCCCACCTCTCCAAGACAATTAATGTCAAATAGTGGTAGCAGAGCTTCTACAATGGGACTATTTCCAACTCCACATGCCACATGAAGGATGGTGTCATTGTTGTCATTTCTTAATGTGAGATCAGCTCCCTTTGACACGAGCAGGTCAAAAACATCCTTCTTCACATACAAAGCTGATGTCATCGCTGGTGTAAATCCCAACTCTCCACGACAATTAATGTCAAACAGTGGTAACAGAGCTTCTACAATGGGATTATTTCCACATCGACATGCCACATGAAGGATGGTGTCATTGTTGTCATTTCTTATTGTGAGATCAGCTCCCTTTGACACGAGCTGATCGAAAACATCTTTCTTCCCATACAAAGCTGATGTCATCGCTGGTGTAAATCCCACCTGTCCACGACAATTAATGTCAAACAGTGGAAGCAGATCTTCTACAATGGGACTATTTCCACCTCGACATGCAACATGAAGGATGGTGTCATTGTTGTCATTTCTTATTGTGAGATCAGCTCCCTTTGACACGAGCAGGTCAAAAACATCCTTCTTCCCATACAGAGCTGCTATCATCGCTGGTGTAAATCCCACCTCTCCACGACAATTAATGTCAAACAGTGGAAGCAGAGCTTCTACAATGGGACAATTTCCACCTCGACATGCTACATGAAGGATGGTGTGATTGTTGTCATTTCTTATTGTGAGATCAGCTCCCTTTGACACGAGCAGGTCAAAAACATCCTTCTTCCCATACAAAGCTGATGTCATCGCTGGTGTAAATCCCACCTCTCCAAGACAATTAATGTCAAATAGTGGTAGCAGAGCTTCTACAATGGGACTATTTCCAACTCCACATGCCACATGAAGGATGGTGTCATTGTTGTCATTTCTTATTGTGAGATCAGCTCCCTTTGACACGAGCAGGTCAAAAACATCCTTCTTCCCATACAAAGCTGCTATCATCGCTGATGTAAATCCCATCTGTCCACGACAATTAATGTCAAACAGTGGTAGCAGAGCTTCTACAATGGGACTATTTCCACCTTGACATGCCACATGAAGAATGGTGTGTTTGTTGTCAGCTCTTATTGTGAGATCAGCTCCCTTTGACATGAGCAGATTGAAAACATCTTTCTTCCCATACAAAGCTGATGTCATCGCTGGTGTAAATCCCACCTCTCCAAGGCAATTAATGTCAAACAGTGGAAACAGAGCTTCTACAATGGGACTCTTTCCTCCTCGACATGCCACATGAAGGATGGTGTGATTGTTGTCATTTCTTATTGTGAGATCAGCTCCCTTTGACACGAGCTCATCGAAAACATCCTTCTTCCCATACAAAGCCGCTATCATCGCTGGTGTAAATCCCACCTGTCCACGACAATTAATGTCAAACAGTGGTAGCAGAGATTCTACAATGGGACTATTTCCACCTTGACATGCCACGTGAAGGATGGTGTGTTTCTTGTCAACTCTTATTGTGAGATCAGCTCCCTTTGACACGAGCAGGTCAAAAACATCCTTCTTCCCATACAAAGCTGCTATCATCGCTGGTGTAAGTCCCACCTGTCCACGACAATTAATGTCAAACAGTGGTAGCAGAGATTCTACAATGGGACAATTTCCACCTTGACATGCCACGTGAAGGATGGTGTGTTTCTTGTCAACTCTTATTGTGAGATCAGCTCCCTTTGACACGAGCAGGTCAAAAACATCCTTCTTCCCATACAAAGCTGATGTCATCGCTGGTGTAAATCCCAACTGTCCACGACAATTAATGTCAATCAGTGGAAGCAGGTCTTCTACAATGGAACTATTTCCACCTTGACATGCAACATGAAGGATGGTGTCATTGTTGTCATTTCTTATTGTGAGATCAGTTCCCTTTGACACGAGCAGGTCAAAAACATCCTTCTTCCCATACAAAGCTGATGGCATCGCTGATGTAAATCCCATCTGTCCACGACAATTAATGTCAAACAGTGGAAGCAGAGCTTCTACAATGGGACTATTTCCACCTTGACATGCCACATGAAGAATGGTGTGTTTCTTGTCAGCTCTTATTGTGAGATCAGCTCCCTTTGACACGAGCAGATTGAAAACATCTTTCTTCCCATACAAAGCTGATGTCATCGCTGGTGTAAATCCCATCTGTCCACGACAATTAATGTCAAACAGTGGAAGCAGATCTTCTACAATGGGACTATTTCCACTTTCACATGCCACATGAAGGATAGTGTCATTCTTCTCACTTCTTATTGTGAGATCAGCTCCCTTTGACACGAGCAGGTCAAAAACATCCTTCTTCCCATACAAAGCTGATGTCATCGTTGGTGTAAATCCCACCTGTCCACGACAATTAATGTCAAACTGTGGAAGCAGAGCTTCTACAATGGGACTATTTCCACCTTGACATGCAACATGAAGGATGGTGTCATTGTTGTCATTTCTTATTGTGAGATCAGCTCCCTTTGACACGAGTAGATTGAAAACGTTATAGTTTCCATGTACAGCAGCAATCATAACCAGTGTTTTGCCCATAGAATCTCTTGCATTAATGTCAGCGACTGGGAGGATGAATTGTGAAAGACTCACATCGCCTACTCTACAGCTGTACTGCAAGGCTAAATAGGATGCGCTTTGAAAGTCAAAGTCTCCAGTCAGATCTGTGATATTTAATCCTTTGGTAATAAATCTAAACAATTCTCTTCCAACTGTACTGAACCCCTTTAACCTAGCAATTTGAAAGACATTTTCACCAACATCATTTTTTGATTCAAAGATATCAGCTCCCATGTTAAGTAAGGCTAATGCAACGCCTTTGTAATTATTGTCTGTGGCAGTCACTAGAGCTTTGTTGAGCACACTTTGATAAAGCAGTGACTTATATTTGGAAGATAAAAACAACAACACTGCTTCGTTCCCACAGGAAGCACAGGCCTTGAAGGCTTCCATGATCTCTTCGTCTGAAAAACTGTATCCAACATCGAGGATTTTCTCAACCAAGTACTGACTATGTGCATGAACTGCCCAGTACAGTAAGTGCTTCTCTTCTTCCTTTGCATGCAACACGGCAAGCCTTTTTGTATCCTTCGTATTCAGGAACCGCTTTAATGTATTTAATTTCTTCAGTTTGAGCATCTGGAACACTTTGTCAACTATTTGCTCTTTTCTCAAAATAGGATGTGTAATAGACATACTGTAGTTGCCTTTGGCAACTGCATCGGCCAGTCTGGAGGCAATTGTGTCATTGTAAGCATCTGAGATGTAGATGATGTGGAGGTGATTATCTATTGCAGTGGACTGGACTGGCTGGGCTTGTACACGCTCATAAAGGAATCTGATGCTGCAGTGGTTCAGAACAAAGGATGGATTCATTTTGAATAGGGCACACGCACAGGCGTCATAGATGGTGGGATGTGAAAATCCAAGTATATCTCCATCCGTGAAAAATACACCCCTGTAACATCTGATGGCTTTGGCAACTGCAGTACGTGAGGTAACTGGCACCACGCTTCTTACGGCTTCTAAGAAATCATTTTCAGATCCCATTTCCACCTGGCTCAAGTTCAGATGATCTTCACACACCAACATCAGGATGAGCGCAGCGGATTGATCATTCCTACGTTCCATGATCATGTCAATTTCTCGCCGTAGATAAAATAGGGGTTCTCGGAAAAACTGTGCAGGTTCTTTTTGAAAGCTGAGAAATTCACAAAACAAGGTACATATTAGGGGGAAGCCAAACAAAGATTCTCTTGTGTCACAAAGCTCATCAATATCGAGGTCCAGGTCGATGTTATGGTGTTTTAGTTGTTTCTGGAGTATTTTCTTTCTTTCCTGGGGACTGTATTGACATGATTTACTTTTTGTCAAATCGAGAAGTGATGGACCTGTGAAAAA